TCCTATCGGCGGCAGGGACCCTCCTGGTTGTCCTGCCCGGCCCCTCTGGCCGCTCTTAGCTTTCCTTTTGCAGACCCTCCCCCTCCCCATCTGACTGCTGGATGCTGAGGGTCTTCAGGGCTCTGGGTCTGGTCCTTGTGTTCCTTCAAATCTTTTTAGTAGGGAACATTTCAAACATAACACAAAAATAGGAGGATGGGTACAATGAACTCCTAAGTACTCATCATTTATCTTCAACAATTACTAGCTTATGGCCTAAATATTCATCATGTTCATCTTCCTCCCAGCTTGTTTTTGAGCAAATTCCACACTGAACATTATTTTATATGTGAATATTTCAGTATGTTTGTGTAAAAGATAAGGACTCTTAAACACAGAGCCTCAATACCACGACACAGTTAGGGAGTAGTTGGCAGTGACCGTGGGGTCCTTTGGAGTCCCTCTCCTTAGGAATCTCTTGTACTCCCGTGGTCTTAAATATCCTCCGCAGGCCAATGACTCCCAGGCGTAAATCTTCTATCCAGGCCTTTCTTCCCACTCCAAAATCCTGTTTCTAATTCTCTACTTGACATTTCACGTGCTGGGTTGAGAGGTGTCAGATTTAAGATGCCCCAAACCAAACCTGGAGTTTTCACCTTGACCCTTCTCCTCCTCTAGCTACCCCGGCTTGGTGGACGGCACCAGCCTGTGCCCAAATGGCCACATCAAAGACCCGGGTGTTGTCCTTGGCGTCTCCCTCACCCTTGCCCCTCACCCAATCCATCGCCAAGTCCCGAGCATTCCTCCACCAGAGAAGACTCACAGTACGCTGCAGTCCAGTCATTTCTCCCTACCTCTATCTCTGCAGCCACCACCCTCCCTGCCCGCACCACAGAAGCCTCTTCGTGGGTTTGCTCCTCCCACTTGCACCCTCGGTTGACGCTCAGTTGTACATACCAGCAAGTCCATGCTGGTGTGAAAATATCAGAATGCTTTCCTGCCAGTCAGTCAATAACCCTTGCCCTGTGCCACTCCCCAGCCCAGGGCTCTGCTCCTGCCCCAGCCACCCAGCCTCCCACTGCCCAGCCCGGCTGAGCAAGGGGCCTCTGCTGCAATTTGGGTGCATTTGTCCAAACACAGAAAGATTCGAATGGTATTCTGACGACCTAAGACTCTAGGTCCCCCTCCCCCAGTGTCTCCCCAACAGACAGAATAATATATTTTTAAAAAATATGTGACCCCACCTCTGGGGGAGGGGAGTAATGACTGAAGGGGGACATGAGGAGAAATTTGGGGTGCTGGTAATGTTCTATTCTAGATTTGAGTGGTGGTTACACAAGTGTGTTCACTTCTGAAGATTCATTGAGTTGGGCACCTAAACACTGTGCATTTTCTGTTATATTTCAACAGAGTTTACTTAAAATATATAACCGATTTTCCCTGCGGCTTCTGCACAAGAGGACAGCAGACACTTACTCAGACCATTTCTCCTGCTCACATCCTCTCTAGAAGGCTCCTCCAGAGGGTGGGTTTCTGTTCTACCACCTCCAGCTTTGCAGTGGCCTGACCATGCCAGAGCTCACCACCAGGGGCGCTGTGTCGGACTCCAGTCATCAGGTGGCTGGATGGGGGGAGTTGGCCCATTCTCCCTGTCCCTCCTGGCAGCCTCCAAAACATCAACTCTTCCAGGCCATTCAGGCAACGGATATATTTTTTTTTAACCCACAGCTTAGGAGCATTTCAGGAGTTATGGAGAGCCAGGACAAAGATTCACCTTCCGGCTATGTTGCACTTCCCCTTGAATCTCACTAGGGAGATACCTGAAGACATAGGCCAACCAAATAAAGCCATAGAGAGATGCTCAACCTTACTGCTAATTAGGGAAAACGCAAATGAAATTCCCAGCGACATACCATTCCATACACATCAGCTTGGCACAAATTATTAAAAAGTCTGGTAATACCAAGTGTAGGCAAGGATATGAGAGTTCAAGTTTATGCAGGTGAGAGTGTAATTGGTAGAACCACTTTAGGGAGAAGTTTGGCAACAGTCAGAAGAATTAGAGATGCTCCTGCCCCATGGCTCGGGCATCCCACTTCTAGGTCCCTGACGTAGATGCTATAGAGGCACAAGGATCCTCTTGCAAGATCATTTGTAACATTAAAAAAAAAAAAAAAAGGGAAACAACCAGAAAATGCATTGAAAGGCTAAGCTGTATCCATATAGCAGTTAAAAGGAATGAACTGCAGCCACATGTATCAATATGGATACATCTCAAAGACATAATGTTGAGTGGAAAAAACAAGTAGCAGAAGGAATGTCTAGTATGAAACCATTTGTATAAAGTTTTAAAATATGCAAATGAGTACCATAAAATGTGTATGGGTACATACATATGTATTAAAACTATAAAAGTCTGCACAGGAATGATAGACACCAAATTCATGCGAGTGTTTTTTTCTGCAGAGGAGGAGAACAGTGGCAGGACTGATATGCAGGAGGCTTCAACTCTTTCTGTTTCATTTCTTAAAAGTGCAAATCAGAAGCAAAAATATGGCTTAGTGGTAAATTTTGTAAAGCTGGGTGGTGCATAGATTTTTATCTTCTATATTCATCTATGTGTTTAATATGTTTTCCCATGAAAGCAATCAATTAATGAAAACAGCTATTCAGGCCTCCCTAAGGCCGTTCCAAAGGCTCGCCTGCCCCAGGTTTGAGCAAAGCGAGCACCATTCAAAGCAAATTTGCTGTCGATGGCAGCAGACCCTAATTCAGGGCAGGAAAGAAGCCAAAGCCTCCTCCATCTGGCGTGGACCAGCTGAGAGGCCCTGCCTCTGTGAAAACTCTTTCTGGGGTTTATCTTTTTATACCAAGCACTTCAAGGAAACCCAGATGACTCGGCCACACGAGCTTTCTGCTGGACTCCCGCACGACCGTGAGCCCCCCGCACCTGCACACTCCTGCCTCTTGGAGGTGTTACAATCCCGTCCCAGGGGCACCCCCAGATCCTGGAGATGCCACACAACCTCTTCCATCCTGTCTGCTCTCCGTGACCTTCCAGGCCATGCTGGGATGGCAGGGATGGGGAGCGTGTCCTCTCAGAATTCATGTGTTGAAGTCCTAACCCTGAGTACCGCAGAATGTGACCTTATTTGGAAATGGGGTCATTGCAGATGGAATTAGGTAAAGTTGAGGTCACTAAGGTGGGTTCCAGGCCAATGAGACTGGTGTCATAAAAAAGAAAGAATTTTAGTCAGGTGTGGTGGCTCACACCTGTAATCCTAGCACTCTGAGAGGCCGAGGAAGGAGGATTGCTTGAGCTCAGGAGTTCAAGACCAGCCTGAGCAAGAGCAAAATCCTTTATCTACAAAAAAAAAAAAAGAAAAAGAAAGAAAGAAAGAAAGAAAGAAAGAAAGAAAGAAAGAAAGAAAGAAAGAAAGAAAGAAAGAAAGAAAAAAAAAAATTAGCCGAGTGTGGTGGCATGCTCCTGTAGTTCTAGCTATTCGGGAGGCTGAAGCAGGGGGATCACTTGAGCCCAGGAGTTTAAGGTTGCTGTGAGCTAGGCTGATGCCATGGCACTCTAGCCCTGGCAACAGAGTAAGACTGTCTCAATAATAATAATAATAATAATAATAAAGAATTTGGAGACATGCACACACACACAGAAGATGAAGGCAAAGACCGGGGCGATGATTGTAAGAGCCAGGGACTGCCCAGGACTAGCAGCAAACCTCCAGTGGCCGGGGGAGAGGCATGGAGCACATTCTCCCTCACAGCCCTAGAAGGCTCCGACCCTGCCGGCACACGGATCTTCGCCTTCCAGCCTCCAGAATGGTGGGAAAATACATTCCTGTAGTTTAAGCCTCCCCAGTTTGTGGTATCTTGTTATGGCAGCCCTGGGCAAAACAAGGACTGAATGACCGCTTTACAATGGAGGACCCGAGGACCCCAGGACCCCTGAGAGCCCCGGCACGTTCAAGATCACACAGCCACTAAGACCATGAGCCAACACCTGACTTTTCCGACAGTGTCGCGGGATGGTTTGGAAACTTTATACGAGGGAGTTGGTGATCATTAGGGCCTGGGAATAAAAACATCCTGCAGTTTATGCCTCTATTAAGTGTGATATATCAGAACCGCTTTCTGGGTGGTCTGTTCCCGAGCTTGATCTAGATGGTGTTTGGGAGAAAGAGTACTTTCACTTATCACCTGGCGATCACATAACAAGCCAGACTCCTGTGATGGGCCCGTCATAAAGACTGCAGCCTTCCGACAGGCCGTCAGCGTGCTGGGTAATTATAACAAGTCGGGCGTGTCTGCCTGCTTAATTTATGGCACCTATGGCATTTTGGCATCGCCTTGGCCTTCTGATCCTGGCGTCCTTTTTGCCTTATATGCTTGGGTGTGGACCATTCTAAACGCCTTTCCTTGGGAGCCATCCCTCTCCTCCCTGCCTCGGTGCCAAGCCGGCTCCCACACTGTGTCAGAGCTGTGGGCCGGTGCCGAGCTGAGCGGCGGGGAGCGTGTGGAGGTGGGCAGGACAGGCCACCCGCCGGGAGACCTGTGACACGGCCTGTCTCCATCTCTCCATTCATCACTGCGTGGGCCTCGGCCAAGCCACTGCCCCTCCTGGGCCCCAGTTTTCTTACAAGTAAATCAAGGAGATTGCAGGCGTGATAAGCTCTTTCCAACCTGGGAGGAGATGAAGACCAGCAAAGATGATAAAGGATGCCAAGAATGGGGCTGGCTCACCAGCTATTTTTGATGTTTTAAAAATCCCATCGAAGTGCTGGATTCTTCCCGAACACGAGCCTGAGCAGGGCACCTAATGTCAAGTATCTGTCAGCAAAGCTCCTGCTCTGTTCACTAGACCCTCTCTCTGACCAGCAGATATGTATCTTTAGGTGAAAAACACAGGAAACTGAATTAATTCTTCATTTGTAATATTTAATTGGCAAACAACACTTAAAACAGAAGTCTATTGAGACAGTACTTATTAAGCGGTGTCTTTGGTTTGGAAAACGTAGAACCACCAGGCCAGGGCCCCCAGATGACCTCCTGCCCTAGGAGCCCATGATCCCTGCCCTGCCCTGGGGTGGCGCCCCCAGTCTCAGTGGTCCAGGTGGGTGGCAACCCCAGCATCTGTGACCTCTCTCAAGGTTGTCAACAGCTCTGCCCCATAACTTCCTTCCTCCCCTGGTCACGTCACATCCTCCCTCTTCAGGTTCAGTACCCTGGTATGAGAGGGTTTCCATCTCCAATTCGCTGGCAGTTGCTAAGACCATCCTTGGCAATTTTTGTTTGTACCTCCACGTCGAGAATGGCCTTTGCCGATGTCTCTGTGTTGAGTGCGGCGGACCTTCCCTTTAAGATGTGAAAGCCCTTCAGCATCCGAACTGAGTCAGAACAGCCAGAACTGGATTCAGGGCCATGGATCCTTCTAGCTTGTGCCCGGGACCTGTGCTTCTGGGTCAATGAGGAAGAGGCTCAGAGAGTGGATTGACGATAGCCAGCACAGCTGGTGGGGGGCAGAGCTGGAAAGCCAACCCGGGTGTGACTGGCTCCTCACACAGTGCTCTCCCTCCATAGCAGTGCCCACCCGGCTCAAGGGGCCTGTAAGAGAGGCGCTCACAGGGCAGGACAGCCCTTAAGGGGCCCAATAACAAAATGCAGCGTGGGTGGGTAAGAGATGGGCTTTCCCAGCTCGGAAGGAGCAGTATCCAGAGGAGACACGGGATCAAGGCTGACTTCAGAGGCAGCCTGAGGGGCCCGGTGAAGGTCTAGGGTTGAATTGACTTACACGGTCTCCCTAAGGGGATTCGTGAAGGCACACGGGTGTAGCATGGAGAATCGTGAAATCACAGGGATTGCCATTGTCTAAACACGTCTCCCTTCTTCTCTAGTAATAGAATTCTTTCTTTCATTTTTCTTTTCTTTTTTGTTAAAGCTACACACTTGGCTGCCCAACATAAAGGCTACATCTCCTGGTCTCCCTGGCTATGTGACTACATTCTGTCCTACGGGGAAGTAAGCAAAAGGGAGGAAATGTTCATAAAGAGAAGGGTGTTCCTTTGTCTTCTTTTCTTTTTGCTGCTCTCTGAAAAGCAGATGTGATGCCTGGTGCTGGAGCAGCAATCTTGGGACTTGAAATAACCTTGTGAGCCACACCCGATGGAACCCCAAGATAGAAGATGCCTTTTTACAACAGTATGGAGTATTATACCAGCCCTGGTCCACACAACTCTGGACTTTTCAGTGAGATAGAAATAAGTTTCTATTTTGTTTAGGCCACTGTTCCTTTGAGATTTCTGCCCTCTAATTCTAAATTACAGAGAAGCTTTCATTCCTTTTTTTCAGTTTTCTTGCTATTCTTCAGATTACCTTTTGGCGCTGATCTGTCCTGAACACCTCTCTAACACTTGCTAAATCTCCCTTGTTTCAGCAAAAAAAGAGCAGAGCTTCTTCAGGCTCAGAAACTTTGGCAGGCAACAGCATCTAGCTATAATTTATTGACATTGTTTTGTTTCTATGGTATTTATTTTTAGGTTACCATTTACTTAAAGTAAATGATACTGCTTTTCCATTTACAATAGCAACATGAGGTCACTTTCCTTTTGAAATAATTTACTTAAGCAAAAACAATTAAGCTGATTTAAAAGATACTAAGTGACTAAGAGTACAGGTTGTGTCAGCCATGGCAAGAATCAAGGAGGTGGCTGGAGGATGACTAAAGGTTGGAAAACAAGGCCATAGATTGTGCTGCTTCAGAAAGAAATACCTAAATATTTCTTCCTCTGATATTTTATGGTTTTTGTTTTTTTTTTATGATTCAAAGTATTCATGTAATGGGCTTCCTAATTGCTCAAAACAATGATTCAGCAAAGACTCCCATAGGCTTAGCATAGTAGTTAGGAGTATGGGCTCTGAAGCCACACTTTCTTGCTCCTCCAATTCTTATTAATAATACTAGCTGTGTGGCCTTGGGCAAATTGCTGTACCTCTCTGTGCTCAGTGTCTCACCTGTAAAATGGAGTTGATGTTGTTGGGAGGGTTAAATGACAAATTGTATGTAAAGTACTAAACAGAATGCCATACATTAAGTATAGCAATAAATGTCAGCTGGTATTCTTCCTCTTATGTCTGGCTTGAACATACCAATATGTCAGTGTTGAGAGCTTTAAACAAAGCCCTTTGAAGTAGAATAACTCTGTCCTGATGATCAAGGAGTTTCACATCTTAAGGTCCAAGACATTCAACACAAAGACATATGCAAAAACCATTCTCAACATAAAGGTACAAATAAAAATTGCCAAGGATAGTCTTGGCAAGTACCAGCAAACTGGAGATGGAAACTGTCCATATCAGGTGACCTTGAATTATAATCCCAAGAGGGAGGATGTCACGTGACCAGGGGAGGGACAGAAGCTGTTACATCTATATTTGCAACTTTGAGTGTTTAATGAAAACCTCTGTTAAAACTTTGTATTCAATACTTGAGCCTAAACAAATAACTTTTCTTGCAGGGAAACAAAATAAAAACAACTTTGTCCATTTGCTTCAATCCTACTGGATGCCTGATTAGGACATAGGAAGTAGGCAATGTCATGTCTAAGAATTTCTACCACTGAGCATGAGAAGATGGACATGTGACCACCCTGGCCTGCACCATGGAAGGCCACGTGGTTTGGTGGAAAGAGCCTTGGGCTGGGAGCCAGTAGACTTAGGTTCTAGTCCTCTTCCTGCCCTTGTGTGACTTCGGGTAACTCTAATCACTTTTGGCAGCCTATTTTCTCATCTTAAATCAACATAACTGGACCAGACTAGGGAGCCTACATCGTTTGATTACTCGTGGAAGATCTCAGGAAGCAGTGGAAGCAGAGGAATAGCTATAGGACAAAGTCCCATCTTAGCCTGGACAGGATGTGGGCTTTGGAGTTGGACAGATCTGGGTTCAAGGTCGCTCCATTACTTATGTACAGGGAGGCTTGAGACTAGTTTCTTAACCATACTGAGTCTCAGTTTTCTCACCTGTAAAATGGGAATAATAATACTTATGTAGGGATGCTGGAAAAATTAGGAGTAACATATTGAATAGGCAGCTCACAGAAATGCAAATGGATAAAGTGCACATGGAGAGATACTCATGTTCTCTCTCAATGAGTGAATTAGGAATCAAAATAGCCAGATCCCATTTTACCCGTCGAATTGGCAAAGATTGAAAATCTGATAATTCTCAGTGTTAGGGAGGATGTGGGGTGCTGGGCATTCTTATCCACTCTTGGTGGGACTACAGACTGGAGCAACTTTTTTTAAGCCTTTATTTTGAGATAGTTTAGATTTTTAGAAAAGTTACTGAAATAGTACAAAGAGTTTCTGTATCCTCTTCATGCAACCTAGCCTCACGATAATATCTTACATTACCATGGTACAATGATCAAAATTAAGAGATTAACATTGGTACCATATTATTAATAAAACTGCAGATTTTATTCCAATTTTCCCAGTTTTTCTACTTATATCCTTTTTCTGTTCCAGGATCCAATCCAGGATACCATGTTGCATTAATATTTTTTTTTTTTTTTTTGAGACAGAGTCTCACTCAGTCGCCCTGGCTAGAGTGCAGTGGCATCATCATAGCTCACAGCAACCTCAAACTCCCTTCTGCCTCAGCCTCCTGAGTAGCTGGAACTACAGGTGTGTGCCACGACTCCTGGGTAATTTTTTTTTCCTATTTTTTTAGTAGAGATGGGGTCTTGCTCTTGCTCAGGCTGGTCTCGAACTCTTGAGCTCAAGTGATCCTCCTGCTTCAGCCTCCCAGAGTGCTAGGATTATAGGTCTGAGTCACCACACCCAGCCAATATTGTGTTAATCTTTATGTTTACCTTAGTCACCTCCAAACTGTGACAGTTCCCCAGTCTTTCCTTGTCTTTTGTGACCTCGACACTTTTTTAGGAATCCTTATCTGATATTTTGTAGAATGTTCCTCAATTTGGATTCATCTGATGCTTTCTCTTGAGTAGACTGAGGTTATAGAATTTTGGGAGGGAGACCACAGACGTGATGTGTCCTTCTTAGTGCATGGTATCAGAGGGTGTATGGTGTTGATATGTCTTATTACTGGTGTGTTAACCTTGATCCCTTGGTTAAGGTGGTGTCTGCCAGCATTCTCCACTATAAAGTTAGTATTTTGCTCTTTTTATACTCTGTTTGTTAGAAAAGAATCACTATGTCCAACCTACACTCAAGGAGAGAGAAACTAAGGTCCACCACCAAGGGAGGAGTATCAGAGAATTTGTGAACATATCTCACCACAGTAATTAATAAATAGTTTTTGCAAAAAAATTACAAAGAAAGTTTGAAGCCGCATCCTGTTTTATCTTAAACCTTCACCCACTAATTTTAGCATTCATTGGTGGATTCTGCCCAGAGCAGTTGTTATTGTAATGTTCTGATGGTGATCTTCTAGTTCCCTCATTTGTTGTACATTTATTAGCTGGAATTCTTATGAAGAAAGAGCTCTTCCATCTCCCCCATTTCCTTCTTCATTCAATCATTTATTTATATTGGTATGGACTAATAAATATTTATTTTATTTTTAGGGATAGAATTCAATACTATTGTGTTTGAAGCACTTTCAGAGTGGCTCATGTCCTTTGACATGCCCCCATAATTTTTTTTTTTTTGAGCACTTCCTTATTTTCTGGTACCACAGGACACTCTAAGTTCATCTTTTATTTTCCCTAACCCAGCCCTGGAATCAACCATTTCTCCAAGGATCCTTGGTTCCTTTTATGGGGAATGGTATTTGGAAACCAAGATCTGGCCATTAGGCATGCACATTGTTATTGGGGTGTCACTGCTTCTAAGCCCTCTCAGCTGATAGAGATAAGAATATGAGCCCAACTATGCATCTATCATCTGTCTATGTCTCTATTATGATAACAACAAATGAGTTTACACTGATATCTCTAACACTAATGCAACACAACCGGGTTCATTTCAGCCTTTCTCCTTTGCTTATTTATAACTTCTTCCTTCAACAGAGAGAAACTTGACTCTCATTATCTATAATATATTTACTTATTTGCTCAACCCAAGTATATGTATATATATGTAAAGTAGTTTCAGAATCTAACCAGGATTCTTATGGGAAACAAAGTTACTAATGAAAGCACAGTGTTTGTGTAGTCCTTCTTGTCTTTGCCCCATAGCATCTGGTCAAAATACTAGGGTCTGCTCAACGGGGCCAAAGAAGCAGGTGCAGTGTCAGAAACCCACTGGAGGGGACTGAGGAGCGGGGGAGGCGAGGGAGAGCGGAAGGGATGTGTAGGCACCTCTTCTGATGCACGTGACTGGGAATGAGAGTAGAAGGATGAGGAGGCGAGGGGAGTTTTGCTTCTCAATGGGAGAGACAGAGCATCTTGATCACATAAGACCATTGAAGCCACTATGATAGGCATGCTCAGTAAGGTAAGGGAAAATGCATTCATATAATTGAAAAGCCAGGAAATATCTGCAGAGAGACATAAAATATAAAAAAGAAATGCATACCTTTTCTACAACTGAAAACTGCCACATCTGAACTAAAAAATTCACAGGCTTAATAGCAGTATGGGCCTAAATTGCAGAATGGAGATGGCCAAAAATAAAATAAAATAAAATAAAGTAAAAGAATCAGTGAGTGTAAATGTGCATTAATAGAAATTATTCAATCTGAAGAAGAAAGAGAAAAAATTTGAAAAAAATGAGCAAAACTTCCAGGAGCCATAGGACAATATAAAAAACTCTAACATGTGTGTACTTAGAGTCTCAGAGGGGTTGGAGAGAAAAAATGAGGCAGAAAAAATATTTGAAGAAATAATGGCTGAAAATTACCCAACTCTTGTGAAAGACATAAATGTATAGACTTAGAAAATGTGGTGAACACCAAGTAGGATAAATGCAAAAAACAAAACAAAACAAACAAACAAACACACAAAAAAACACATCTAAATGCATTATAGTCAAATAACTGAAAAGCAAAGATAAAGAGAAGATTTAGAAGCAGCCAGAGAAAAACAACGCATGATATACTTGGGAACAATAATTTTAACATCCACAGATTTCTAATGAGAAAACATGAGGTCAGAAAATAGTGGAATACTTTTAAAGGTCTAAAGAAAAAAAAAAAAAAAACCAACAGAAAAAAACCAACCCAGAATTCTATATCCAGCAAATATATCCTTCCAAAATAGGGCAAATAAGATCCCCCACCCCCAACATTTCCAAGAGGCCTGCATTGGAAATAAAGCAAAGGACATTCTTCAAGCTGAAAGGAAACTATACAGAGGAGAAACTTAGATCCCCAGGAAGGACTAAAGAACATCAGTAATGGGAAATATCTGAGTAAATATATAAGATTTTTTTCCTTCTCCATTTCCTTAAAATACACATGACTATTTAAAAAAGAAAGTACAGCATTTCTTGCAGGTTGCAGTATACTCAGATGTAATACACAGGACAACGGCAGTATGAGGAGTTCTGTGGGTTGGGTAGTGTGAGGCATAGATGGAACTACACAGTTGAAAAGTTTCTACATTTTATGTGAAGGGGCACAATATTACCTCTGTGAAAAATTAAAGGTGCATGCTCTAATCCCTAGTAGAACCTTTAAAAAAAGAATGCAAATAGTTCTAGCTGAAAAGCCAATGGACACATGAAAATGTAATTCTAGAATATGCTTAAATAGTTCAAATATGGAAGGAAAGGAGGAACAGAGGAACAACAACAACAACAACAAAAAGAGAAGGGACAACCGGATGACAAATAATAAAATGATAAACCTAATCTCAACCATATCAATAATGAAATGAAATGTTAATGGACTAACTAAGCACTCTAATTAATAATAGTAATTCCTATTATGTGGCCACCATAAACTGACTATAGAAGAGTATGGTCATCTTCTGATATGATCCCTCTTCGAGAATATCATTTGGCCCTGAGCTTCTAGGATTTGGCTTTGGGTTATCTGCTGCTCCTGGAAGAACCGTCCTTGTCTCCCCTGCAGGCAGACGGGGTGCCCCTGAACAGGCCACCTATCTGCCTGCCCTTTCTGTCCTGCTGAGTGCTCAGGCTCAAGCTCACCTTTGATGCTTAGAGCCGCACAGGTGCAAGGCGGCACCGAATCAGCACCAGAGAAGACACTGGGACCATCAAATCCACCCTGACAAATGCCTCAGTTTCCCCTGATAGAAATCTCTCCACTGAGATTAGTTTCTAAACAGATTTTTTAAGGTAATTAACATGCATATTATGTTATTTTAAAATTCTGTACAAAAAGATTTGCAGTGAAAAGTCAGTCTCTCACCTATCCTGTATCCTTGAATCAATTAGCAAGAAGTTTCTTTTTAATGTGTTCAGCCTGAACCACCTCTTGAAGGGGTGGGGCTGGGAGCCTAGGTCTCCAGCAGCAGGAATGATGGGTTTTATGCTTTTCTCATCTCAAGCAGAGATCTGCCTTGTTCTTTCTTTCTCTCTCTCTCTCTCTCTCTCTTTTTTTTTTACCATCTTAAACCAACTTCCTGGAAGCTCTGTCCTCACCGTGGTAAGGGAGAGTATTCTAGAAAGCCTGTTTTTAGGGAGGAAAATCTAGCTAAGCATGGTGGACTGGTCCTGCCAGCTTCATAAATAACAGAATTTACATTAAGAGGAAAGTCCTTTATGATTAGGAGTTGAAGGGGTGTGGGTGGGCTGTGCCCCTAGAAATAGTCTCCGCTAGCTAATTTTAGAGATTTAAAAAAAGTCATTGGTAAAACACCATCTAATTCCCAAACAGTTTGTCATTTTGTTTCTCTTCACAGAATTGGTTTTTATCCTTATTCTGCCACTGATAGCTGTGGTAAGTCACTAACCCTCTAGAGCTAAGCCTCAGTTTTGACATCTGTAAAATGGTCCTGCCACATAGTATAAAACATAATAGCATTCTATGTGATTTGGTGTGTCACAGTTAGCTAATACTGCATAACGAACCATCCCAAAACTCAGCCGGTTAAATTCAGCAGAACATTCATTTTGCTCAGCGCAGAGGCAGCTTCTGATGGGGCTCCTGGGATTCTAGCCCCTGTACAGTCCCTTTCCCTTGATCCTGGGCTGGACTTTGGGACTTGCTTCCAATGAACAGAATACGGCAACCGTGATGGGATGGCGCTCTGTGATTAGGTTGTAAAAGACAGAGATTTTGGTCTTGCTACCATTTTCACTCCACTGCCTTCTTTGCCTTCATGATGCCTTCTTTGCTTTCACTCCACTGCCTGCTTTGCCCTCACGGCCAGGAGCTGAAAGCAGCAACTCAACGGGCCTCACGAAGGTGAGTCCTGCCAGCATGCGAGGGAGTGAGCTCGGAAGCGCAGCCTTCCTGCCGCACCTCGGGACGGTGGAAACTGCAGCCAGCACCTTGATCACCACCCACTAAAGACCCTGGCACAGAGGACCCTGCTAAGCCTGCCCACGGTCCCGAAATACTAGGTTAGGGAAGAGGCTGTGAGAAAATAAATGTCATCCCAAGCCACTAAGATACGGGGTGATTTGTGATGCAGCAATACATACTAACACCTCGGGGATCTGTGGTTTGGGGAGGTGTCTGCGGGAGTAACTCATCCCTGTCCCACTTACCGTCAGCTGGGCTGGCATGGAGACTGCACTGGGTACTGAAACTGCATGAGGGCTCTTGTACTCCCTCACTCACGTGTCTGGCAGGTGGGGCCGGCTGAGGGATGAGACCTGAGCTGGGACGGTGGCTGGAACACACAGGCATGGCCTTTCCGTGAGGAAGGCCTGGGCTTCCTCGTAACAAGCAGGCTGGGTCCCCAGGGCAAGAGCGGAGCCGGGGAGGGACGGGGGGGGGGGGGTGTAGAGAGAGAGAGAGTCAGATAGAAGCTTTATCACCTTCTCTAACCCAGCATCAGCAATCACACAGCATCACTCCCACTAGACTGTACTCATTAGAAGAAAGACCCCAAAGGGCTAGACAATATTCCATTGTACAGATACACACTACATTTTGTTTACCCCTTTATCAGCTGATAGACATTTGGGTTGTTTCTATTTTTGGCTCTTATGAATAATGTTGACATGAACATTTATGTACAGGCTTTTATGTGGGCATATATTTTCATTTCTCTTGGATATACTTAGGAGTGGAACTGCAGGGTCCTATGGCAACTCTATGTTTAACATTTTGATGAACTGACAAATTGTTTTCCAAAGTGGCTGCACCATTTTGCATTCTCATCAGCATACACAAAGTTTCCAATTTCTCTACAACCTTACCACATTTTCCCTTTTTTTATAATAGTCATCTCAGTGGGTGTGAAGTGGTATCTCACTGTCGTTTTGATTTCCATTTCCCTAAAGGCTAATGATGTTGGGCATCTTTTCCTGTGCTTACTGGCCATTTATATTAATAAATCTTTGAAGAAATGTCTATTCATGGGAGACTGCCCGGGCATAACAGGTGCTGTAGGCTTTAAAAAAAGAAATAGCTATTTCAGATTCTTCACCCATTTTTAAATTGGGTTATTTGTCTTTTTATTTTTGAGTTGTTAGGATTCTTTATACATTGGCGATACAAGTCTCTTATCATATACATCTGTGGCCATCAACCCCCAAGCCGTGGACTGGTATTGGTCAGTGGCTTGTTAGGAACCCAGATGCACAGCGGGAGGTGAGTAGTGGCAAGTGAGTGAAGCTTCATCTGTATTTACAGCCGCTCCCCATGACTCCCATCACCACCTGAGCTCCTCCTCCTGTCAGATCAGTGGCAGCATTCGATTCTCATAGGAGCACGAACCCGACTGTTAACTATGCATGGGAGGGACCTAGGTTGCATGCTCCTTATGAGACTCTAACGCCTAAAGACCTGAGGTGGAGCTGGGGCGGGGATGCTAGCGCTGGGGAGCATCTGCAGATACTGATTATCATTAGCAGACAGGTTTGACTACACAGAGACCATAATAAATCAATTGGTTGCAGACTCATCAAAACCCTATCAGTGAGTGACAAGTGACAATTAAGCTGCATCTGGTGGCAGGCTTTATAGTGGCAAGGGAGTTGATGTACTTCAATTGCACAACTGCATCTGGTGGCAGGCTTTAAGTCAGAATCTGACACTTATTTTAGTCTGTGCATGGCCTGCCATTATTTTATTTACCACTTCCCGAACTACGCACTTGTCACAGTCATGATTTTGGTAACCCACAAGCTAACCCTAGCAAAAATGAGTACAAAACAAATGTTGCTAGAGAGCTTCTTTGAAAGAGGGGAAAGACCCAATGATGAGGCAGCAGAAGACTCTGAGACTGCCAACAAAATGATAGTTGCATTTAAAAGAAAATACCAAGAGATCGACTTACATTACGGGTTCACTGCAACAGGTGATTCACATTCTCCAAGACTGCTTTGCATAATATATGGCGACCGGCTACCCAAGAACGCCATGAAACCTTCAAAACTGCTTTGCCACGTGGAGACCAAGCACCCTGCATTAAGACAAGCCTTTGGAGTTTTTCAAAAGAAAAAAAAAGTGAACATGGAGAACAAAAGCAATTATTGGAGGACACCGATTCACCAAATGTGTCTGCTCTGAGAGCATCATTCTTAGTGGCTGACCGCATTGCTAACGCTAAGGAGCCCTTTACTACTGGTAAAGAGTTGGTCCTGCCTGCGGCTAAGGACACTTGCCGAGAGCTTTTAGGAGAGGCTGCAGTTCAAAAGGCGGCCCAAGTTCCTTTTTCAGCTAGCACCATAACTAGATGAACTGACGAAACAGCAGAGGATACTGAGGCACAATTCTTAGGATTAATGAGTCACCATGGCAGGCAATCCAGGTTGACGAGTCTACTGATGTTGACAACAAGGCAACAATGCTTGTTTTTGTGCAATATACTTTTCAGGAGGATGTGCATGAGGACATGTTGTGTGCACTGTTGTTGCCAACCAACACCATGGCTACAGAACTGTCTTTGAATGATTATGTATGAGTAAAGATGAATTGGTCATTTTGTGTTGGTACATGCACAAATGGAGCAGCTGCCATGACTGGATGGCTTTCTGGCTTCACTGCTCGGGTCAAGGAGGTCGCTTCTGAATGTGAGCCTGCATACTGTGTCATCCATAGAGGAATGCTGGCTACCTGAAAAATGTCACCTGAACTAAACAACGTTTTGCAGGATGTGAGTAAAATTATCAACCACATTAAATTACATGCCCTTACTCACGTCTGTTCGTGCAGCTCTGTGAGGAGATGGATGCAGAGCACACACGTCTTCTCTTATACACGGAAGTGAGATGGCTTTCTAAAGGTAGGTCACTGGCCAGAGTTTTTGAGTTACAAGTGCCACTCCAGAGATTTCCTTTAGGAAAAACAGTCACCACTGGCAGCACATCTCAGTGACACAGAATGGGTCACAAAACTTGCTTACTTGTGTGATATACTCAACCTGTTCAACAAACTCAATCTCCATGTGTAGCTGGTGTCTCTCTTGGGTTTGACAGGGCAGGTCTGTGCGTGTTTTCCAAGAGCAGGTGGCAGTGTTTCTACCTGGTGCCTGATCCCCGGAGCCTTGAGGGTACCTCTGAAATCAGTCCAGACCATTGGCTTCGCCCAGCCCCATCTCTTCTTACCTACCGCCTGCCTTTACACTGGCTTCATGTTCCCTCTGCATGAAGGTGCTGTTCCTTTCCTTCTTCTCCACCTGGCTTTTCCTGCCCTTTTCCTGGTCTCAGCTTAAACATTGCTCCCTCAAAGAAACTTTTCTTCTCTCTTCCTCTTACCTTCAGATCCCCCTTATATATGCCCAGAGTGTCATAATGTCATTTTGCTTCATGCCTGTGTCCCAACTTGGTTAATTGTGGGTGCAATTATTTTTGAGTGTTTTTCTCACTAAGTTGTAAGACAGTGACCACATCTGGCCACTGCAGTCTCTTCCGTGTCTAGAACTGCGTATGTCACCCAGCAATTGCAGAATAAATGAATGACCCCGCAACGTTGCCAAAAGTCTTAACTCTCTTTGGTGCCCTTTCTTTAAGAAGACAGAACTGTGCTCAACTCACTTGGAAAGGGTTTCAGTCAGGAAGAGTTAAAATAGCAACTGCTGGGATATTTCATGGGAATCTTCACTTATCCTAAGAATGGATTCACCAAGAGTACCTCATTCCCTGGCTGTGCAAGGCTGAGGCAGCACCAGGCTGTAACTCTGGGGAAAAGAAAGTCACTACCCTGTAAGTGTAGCACGTGAATTGTTTGCCATATATGAGTATGAGTTTGGCTCAGGCATCCACTCAGCTCACTGGAAATCTGATGGACGGATGACTCTGCCAAGTGCTCCTGAATTCCTTGACTTTAATCATTAACTTCTGGGCAGGGCACCATCCCTACTGAACCTCCATTCCCTCTGAACAATGAGGGGTTGGACTAGCCCTCCAAGGGCCCGTGTTGGACACCAGTTGGATTGTCATCTGCTCAGAATGACTGCTCAGCTCCATCTATAGGTTGTGTTAGGAACTGTCTCATCTCCATCTCAGCTGACACTTTATAGACCCAGGGGTCAGCACCTTGACCCAGGTTGGACCCAACTGCCCTTTTCCTAGACCTTGAGCCAGGGATCAAGAGAGAAGTCTGTCTTGTTCACATCTTTCCCACGTGGCCTGGAGAAGGCAGTCTGCCGAAAGAGGAGGTCAGAAGGAACTGGGCAGCGTAGAGTATGGACCATGTAGGGAGGTGGATCCTGGTTCCAGCATTTTCTGAGGCCCAGCTCATCCCTGCTCTTAGTGTCTTACAAACAGTTTCCACTTGTGCTGACCCTGGTTCAAGTTGGGTTCTGTTACTCACAGTGAAAATATGAGCCTTCGCGGCTCTAGTGTTTGCAGATCTGAATACTTATGATAAATATTTAACACAAGACCAAGCTCCTACCTTTATCAGCCACGTTAACCAAGTCCAGGGTTAGAGACTAAGAGCGGCTGGAGCCCCATCATCTTTTGTCTTGGCAGAGCCCACCTTGGCAGGTAATAAATGAAGGAGGCAGGGAGCTTGGGAGGGGGTTGGGAACAGAGATCTAACTCTAAGAAGCCTTTGCCAGAACACATGAAGGTGGGACATTGTTTTCCTGTTCCCTGCTGTGTCTGTCATGCCTCAAACAGGGCCTGGCACATGGGAAATGTGCGTGGTACATTTACGGACTGGATGTGCTGGGGGAATGCTCACATCTCCAGTGCTCTGGGGTGCAGAGGACCCAAAAACATGCTTGTGAGGGGTGTCGATGGCTGGGGGAGGGGCAGCAAGGAAGCCAAGGCTCCATGGTGGGAAGACTGGGGGTGTGGAAATGACGTTGCTCATGGCTGTGGCCTCCATGCCATTGGGCAGGTGATCTCACCTACTGTCCTTTGAAAACCCATTTCTGCAAGCCTCTTCCCTCTGCCATGCCTCTGCTGACCGCCCCGATGGGAAGGGCTCCCTCCTTCATCTCTGCTCACAGCGTTTCTTTACGTACTCTATGGCTTGCCTTCTGGGTTGGGCTCTAGAAGGACAGGGACGGGGTCTTTGTCATCAGCACCTGCCACTCCCACAGCCTGACTCAGCAGCACTCAGGGCACATGGTCACACTGGTCGATGGACTGACACCTGGACCAGGCTGGCCGACATAGAAGGTGCCAGGTAGAGGGTAGGGTAGGTGATGGGGACTTCTGTTTCTCTGGTCCGGCTTCATTTCTGTCATTCCATAATTCTCCCAGCACTTAGTTTTTGCTGTCATTATTTCTTCTACTGGACCCTTAGTCAGTTTACAGTCTTGTTTGGGATAATCTACCCACCCTAGGATGGTGGTGTGTGTGTGGACGTGGGAATCAATGCCTTGTGACCTGAGCCTGCCCGAGCGGCCCACAGGGCACAGAGCAGGGCGTGTTCCCTCCTGTGACCTCAGCCTGGCCTCCCTCCTCCTCCTCCCTCCCTCCTTCTCCCACACCCCCCCCACCCTGTACCCTGCCGTAGTGGGGCCAGGATTCTTCTTGGGAAAAGGAGCATTTGTTATTGACTTAGAAATTCCAGGCTTGGGGGCTCCTAGACAATCAGCCAGACCATAATCCCCAAACCAAACAGTCCCTCCCTTTCAGCAGGATAACCTTTGCATTCTTCCGGGCTCCTCCGGTAAAGCCATGTACCGATTTGCTGGGATAGACACGGGCGAGGTCTGGTGAGGGGCGGTGGAGGTGCTGGGCCTCACGTAGCATGCAGACAGTGAGACGGTGGCCCAGGTCGCCCAGGCTTCCTGGCTCAGTTACAGGGCATCCTTGGGTGTGTCAGGGGTTCCAAGGGTGCTCTGAAGCTGCATGACAATGTTGAGAGTATGTGCTGGGGCATTTTTCTGGGAAGGGGTCAATAGTGTCCAACAGTTTCACAATGGGGTCTGTGACCTCCAAAACGTCGAGGAGGCTGGTCTGGATGATCTAGCGAGGTCCGTTCTGCTTAGGCTTCTGCACTTTGGAGCCGCAGGAGTGTAGATCCGGGCGGTGGCTGGTTCCTTGGAGCCACCTGGTGGTACCGGGGTGCATAGCAGCCTGTGGGCAACAGGAGAATGGGCCCATCCCTCCTGTCCTGGCAAGTCCTAGGAAAGGTACTGGAAGGAAGTTTTGGAATATGGGTGAGCTGCCCTCTCTCCCAAGTGAGTAAGAATTGTCCCGGTTCGAATCTGGAAGGGAAGGCCTGGCTGGTCGGATCCCCTGTCTCTGCTCACTCTGCGCTTGGGAGGAGCCAGGTGACCTGGGTCTGGTCTGGGTAGAGGGTGTGGCAGGTGTGGCCTTGGGTGGGGAGGGAGGACTTTCTGGCTTAAGTGAGGACGGGAGAGCTAAGAAAGGCTGGCCAGACTTGAGGACAAAGAGAGAGCGTTGTACATCTCAGAAAGTTTCCCTTGAATCAATTCCTTCACCCCACTACCGTCCTGAAAGGCAGGTCCTGTTTACACCAAATTCACGGAGTAGGACATTGAGGCCCAGAGAGGTGATGCGACTTGCCTAAGACCACACAGCTAGACAGATTGGAGCCCGGCTCCCCACTGCTGATAAGCAGCCCACCCACCTTCCCCAGCCTCCCTGCCTCCTCTCCTGGCACCCCAGCTTGACCCAGCGTGCTTCCGTGGGTGGAGTCCAGGGTGTGATGGTGGGAGTCCTGGGTTCTAGTTCCTTCCATTCTCCTTGCTGTGCCGTGGGTCCATAGCACCAGATCGGCTGCCGAGGGCCTGGGGCAGAGCAGAGCAGGAACCGGAGGCCACTCCTCGGCAGGACTGCTTTAGGACAACCCAGAGGAAGGCCCCAGGTCCCACCGCAGAGGGTGAAACAGTGGGGCTCCCCATCCCTGCGGATGTTGGAGGCTGAACGTATGATAGAAGCCAAGAAAAGTGTGACCACTGGGCGACAGACCCATGAAATGCTGCTGGATATAAGTCAGGTTGAAGCCGGGAGG